ATGCTGGCAAATGAGCAGAGTTTGTTTCCAGGCAGACTGCTGCCTCCCCTTCATATTGAAAAACATTGTGCAACTTTTTAAAACCCCCACTTTTTCTTTAATTGCTAAAAGAAAGAAGGAAAGAAAGAAAGAAAGAAAGAAAGAAAGAAAGAAAGAAAGAAAGAAAGAAAGAAGAGGTAGAAAACAAAAAAGGAGATGGAAGGATGGAAGAAAAACAAAGAAGAAAAAGAAAATAAGAAAGAGGGAGAAAAAAAGAAGAGAACAAGAAAGGAAAAGGAAGAAAAGAAAAGAAATGGAAGAATGGAAGGAAAAGAAAGAAGAAAGACAAAGAAAGAGAAAGAAAGAAAGAAAGAAAGAAAAAAAGAGAGAAAGAAAGAGGAAGGAAGAAGAGAACAAGTAAGGAGATAGAGAAAAAAGAAAGGTGGAAGGAAGGAAGGAAAAGAAAGGAAGAGGAAGGAAGAAAGGGAGGGAGGAAGAAAGGGAGGGAGGGAGGGAGGGAGGAAGGAAGGAAGGAAGGAAGGAAGGAAGGAAGGAAGGAAGGAAGGAAGGAAAAGACTTACTCTCTAATAAAAGGGGTATAATCCAGGAAGACTAATTACCCAATAAATATAAACGTATCAATGATCTAACCTCATTTTTTGGTATGTCTAGAGATACTCTGAAAAGCATTTCAGAGTACTGCTAAATTGAACTGTAGTTCAACTTAGCAATAGTTGATCTTGTTGTCAGATTTCAACTCTAAGAAAATAAAGTCAGAATTACTCTGACTACTACTATTACAGAATAGTAGTTACACATAGAATCCTTAAACTTGTTCTTTTTATAACAGGGGGTGAGCCAAAGAATTGCCAGTGACAAGCTGCAATAAAGCAACTCCAATTAATTGCCTTGCCTACCATCTTATCATGAAATGGTTCTTCTTTTACCACTTGGAATTACATTATGGAAGTTCAGCTGTCTTTAGTTTTTTCTCCATGGCTGAAGGTTCTTCACTCATCCGTCCTTGAGTTGGCAGAAATCTCTTATCTTCTTTTAAATCTGCTTTCCTACTTTACTTGCCAGTTGCTTTCCAGTGTAAAATGCCTCTCTTCCCAGTCACTCCAGTGTCCTGATTTTCCTCTGAAGTCATAAGGGACAAAAACCTAACAAAATTTACCAACCTTCAGACTGTCCTTGGAGAGGGCTGGAAGGATAGGGAGATATCTCCAGAAATGCTGCTGAGCCTCATGGACTAGGGAGTTAGGAGGAAGACAAAGTTGTATAGACACAAAAGAGGCTCTCAGAGATATTTGCACAACAGTTACAGTGAAGAGAGCAAAGGCCCAAATCTCTTACCTCTGTAAAATTGAGAGTGGCTGTAGGTGTGATCGTCAACAGGTTGTCCCATTTTTAACGACTGCTGATCTACATGGATATTCTCCAATTCTACACCCTGAGAAAGAGGAAACCAATAGAATAGAATAGAATAGCAGAGTTGGAAGGGACCTTGGAGGTCTTCTAGTCCAACCCCCTGCTTAGGCAGGAAAGCCTATACTAGTTCAGACAAATGGTTAGCCAACATCTTCTTAAAAACTTCCAGTGTTAGAGCATTTAGAACTTCTGGAGGCAAGTCCACTAATTAATTGTTCTAACTGTCAGGAAATTTCTCCTTAAATCTAAGTTGCTTCTCTCCTTGATTAGTTTCCATCCATTGCTTCTTGTTCTACCCTCTGGTGCTTTGGAGACTAGTTTGACTCCCTCTTCTTTGTGGCAGCCCCTGAGATACTGAAACACTGCTATCATGTCACTCCTGGTCCTTCTTTCTATTAAACTAGACATACCCAGTTCCTGCAACCATTCTTTATATGTTTTAGCCTCCAATCCCCTAATCATCTTTGTTTCTGCACTCTTTCTAGAGTCTCCACATCTTTTCTACATCGTGGCAACCAAAACTGAATGCAGTATTCCAAGTGTGGCCTTACCAAGGCATTATAAAATGGCATTAACCCTTCACGTGATCTTTATTCTATCCCTCTGTTGATGCAGCCTAGAACTAAATAAGAATAGTGCTCCAGTTGAGCTCATGAATATCACACCTCCAAACGTAAGTATCTTCTATCTTTCCACAGATTTCCAAGTGTTTTAGATTAAGAATACTCTTTCATGAATGAAGGTGAATATATGTGTCCCAAGATAATGTTGCAAGATGCAATGTGGGTCGGTCAGAAAGAAATACCCTTTAATTTTCCAATCTTCTACAGAAATTTCTGTACTGGGCGGAAAGCAGTGGGAGCTATTGGGAGGACCTGGGCTACAGAGGGGTAGGCTGGGCATCATTAGAGTGAAATTAGAATGTATCCCAAAACATAACAAACACTTTCCTGCTGCTACACATGAGAAGGAACAACCCTTTAACAGATTAAACAGATTAATAGAGTTGGAAGGGATCTTACAGGTCATCCAATCCAATCCCCCCTCAAGCAGGAGACCGTACAGCTGTGATGGTGAACCTATAGCGCGTGTGCCACAGGTGGCATGCGGGATCCATTTGTCAGACCACACACGTTTCCCTGTCGGCTGGCCAGCAAGTGCATGCGCACTTCTGGTTTGCTCATAGGGTGGTTCTTTGCCCTCCAGAGCCTTCAGGGAAGCCTCCTGAAGGCTCCTGAACCGGAAGTCCATTTGCAAACTTCCAGTTTGCCTGTAGGGCTGGTTTTTCACACTCTGGAGGCTTCAGAGAAGCTCCTGAAGCCTCTGGATGGCCTCTGGGGGAACAGGGGAGGCAGTTTTCGCCCTCCCCAAGCTCCTATAAAGCCTCTGCACCTGGGGAGGGCGAAAAAAGCATGCTAAAAATGGGGGGGGGGAGTGCTGCTCGTGCATGCATACCTGCTGGAGTTGTTCACATAGCATTATGGGTGTGGCACACCAGTGCATGACCCCCCCCCCGTGCTCCCCCCGCTTTTGGCACACAAGTAAAAAAAAGGTTTTCCCTCACTGTCCTACACCATTTCTGACAAATGGCAGTCCAGGCTCTTCTTGAAAGTCTCAAGTGATTAAGCTCCCACAACTTCTGAAGGTTCCATTGGTTGATTGTTCTCACTGTCAGAAAGTTCCTCCTTATTTCTAAGTTGCTTCTCTCCTTGATTAGTTTCCATGCATTGCATCTTCACCTGCCCTCAAATGCTTTGGAGAATAGCTTGACTCCTTCTTCTTTGTGGCAATCCCTGAGATATTGGAGCATTGCTATCATGTCTCCCCTAGTCCTTTTTCCCCCCATTAAAATAGACATACTCAGTTCCTGCAACCGTTCTTCATATGTTTTAGCCTCCAGTACCCTAATCATCTGGGTTACCCTTCTCTACACTCTTTCTAGAGTCCCAACATTTTTTTTACATCGTGGTAACCAAAAGTGAATGCCGTATTACAAGTGTGGCTTAAGTTAATGAACCTTAGTTTGGAAATGTCCCAGATTCCAGCAGTCCCTTTTTAAAGTTGGAAATGCTACTTCCTTTGTTTTCTTCTGAATGGATCCTTTCTCTCCTTCTATTTCCTTACAAAGTGTTGCCCTTGTGCAGAGTATTTCAGAGTGCTTCTGGTTGTCTGGGGAGGGTGAAAACGTGATGCACAGAAGTTCAAGAGGCCAAAAACAGGCCTGTATTCAATCTATAAGATGCACAGACATTTTCACCACTTTTTGGGGGGTGGGGGAGTCTGAAAAATACTGTAATTACTATAGCTGGAGTGCAAAAGTTGGATGACCATAGAGAGTACTAAGCAACTCTTTGTGGTCATTTAGAGTGACCTTCCTGATGTTTGCAGTCCAGACATGGAAATTCTGCTTAGAAGACTTTAGAAGGATGGAGTGCCATTTTCCAGAAACAAGGCTTCGTTAGACTTCCTGCAAAAGGATATTCTAAAGATTATCTGCACCAGTGGTGGGTTCCTACGGGTTTGGATCGGTTTGGCTGAACCGGTAGTGGTTTGGTGGCCTGGGTAGCTGAAACTGGCAGTGACCCAGGCCTGCCACACCCCTGAACCGTTTTTCCTGGTGGTGCCATAGGCACCGCCATCTTGTTTTTTGCTTCTGCGCATGCACAGAACAATTTTTATTGTACCATGCATACGCACGCAGCGTAGCGCAGCCACGTGCGAACCGGCAGTAGTGACTGCCAGAACCCATCCCTGATCTGCGCAATAGTCAGTTTTAAGATTCAGATCCTTCTCTCAATTCCCTAGGCTTGTTTGCATTTGAGAATCAGTGTGGGATAATAACAATAGCACTGTGACTTATATACCGCTTTACAGTGTTTTACAGCCCTCTCTAAGCAATTTACAGAATCAGCTTTTTGCCTCCAATAATCTGGGTCCACATTTTACTGACCTCAGAAGGATGGAAGTCTGAATCAACCTTGAGCCTGGTGAGATTCGAACTGCCAAATTGCAGGCAGCCAGCAGTCAGCAGAAGTAGCCTGTAGTACTGCACTCTAACCACTGCACCACCATGGCTCATAGGGCCATTTCCTGTTGAAGTCTAGTATCTTAATATTCCTTGGAAGTTGTGGGTCTCCATCCCTGGAGGTTTTTAAGAAGAGATTGGACAGCCATTTGTCTGAAATGATATAGGGTCTCCTGCCTGAGAAGGAGTTGGACAAGATCCAAGGTCCTTTCCAACTCGGTGATTCTCTTATTCTGAATTGGGTTTGACCAAGACTGAAAGTTGAAGCAGAGGCTTCAAAATGCACACACACACACAAAGCAAATTTATTCAAATGCTTACCACCACAAAGACATGCTGATTCAGATGCTTGAAGGCCGCAGAGTTGCTGGCCAGCAGTCCACTGTGATTCCCTGCTGGCAATATCACTGCGTCCAGTTTGGGCACCTGTTCGTAGATCTCCAAACCCATGGTCCCCAGCCCTGACAGATAGATAGCACTATCATCTCTGCAGGCACAAGCAGAAAAACAAAGAGCAATACCGTATGATTGACCTTGTAGTCGCCTGTTCCCTTAACCTACGTCCTTCTGCCTTTCTTGAGTTTTTTTTTTGGGGGGTGGGGGCTCTCTCTCTACAGATGAGGGCACTGATGTGCTGTGTCTCACACCCAAACCTGTCATGCCCAGGTGCAGAGGGTTCTCCGGTTAGAAAGGTGAACATAAAACATGGGCAAACCCTACTCCCTACTAACATTGATGATGTTACCTAGTTTGGTCATAAAACGTCTGCTGGCGCCCGACAGCCCACAACATGTGCATTTTGTGGTATGCTCTATTTATTCATTTGTTTTTATTTATTGTATTTATTATATTTTCACCCCAGCTTTATTACTTCATAAATAACTCGGCAGTGAACATACCTAATACACCTTCCTCCTTCTATTTTCTCCACAACAATTCTGTGAGGGAGGTTGAACTGAGGGAGTTTTTACGCCTAAAGTGAGACTAGAACTCACAGTCTCCTACTTTCCAGGCCAGCACATTTACCACATCAAACTGGAGCTTTGATGTCTTTGATTTTTAGATGAAAAACCCTCATGAAGACACATATCTCAAAGGAAGGTTGACAGTGACTTCCAGCACACGGAATATATCAGATAACTGATTAAGATATGCAAAGGTTCTTTTAATGTAAAGCAATTGCTGTGAAATGAGCATTAATGGGTTTGTGGTGTCAAGTCTTGCCTTAAGCAACATTTGCTAATAAGTATGGTGAGAAATGGTTTACAGGCAGTTTTTATAGTAGGACTAAGAGCACCAAGTCTTAGCAAGGTAAAATCAGAGGTGGGATTCACTTACCTTCCCAACCAGTTCACAAAATGTGAGTGTGTGCACCTCGTCTATTTGCCGTATGTAAAGTTGTTGTACAAAATACATTCTGACAATGTATTCCAACACTAAAGGAGACGTCTCTTAAGTGAGTTTTGCCCCACGTTATCATTTTTCTTGGCGCAGTTGTTAAGTGAATCACCGTGTTTCTTAATTTAGCAACACGGCTGTGCAGAGAATCTGGCCTCCCCATTGATTTTGCTGGTCGGAAGGTCACAAAAGGGGATCACGCAACCCCAGGACACTGCAACCGTCATAAGTACGAGTCAGTTGCCAAGCGGCTGAATTTTGATCACGTGACTATGGGGATGCTGCAATGGTCGTAAGTGTGACAAATGGTCATAACTCATTTTTTCAGTGCCGCTGTAACTTTGAACGGTAACTAAATGAATTGTTGTAAATCAAGGATTACCTGTATTTCCCCAAACTGGTACCACAAACCTTTGTGAGTCAAATTCCTATTTTTCTTTCCTCACCTTTAATCTGAGATTGCTCCAAATCCAACATGAATCTGAGTTTTTGCCTTCAATCAGTTTTGGCTTTCTTGTATTCAGGTTGCCTGTCCATCATCTTCTTTTTCTCTCTTTTTCACTTTTCTTATCAGTTACTTTACTGCAGTGGAAGAATATTCGCTACCTCTGATCTGGTCATCATAACAACCAAGAAATCTTTTCTTTTCTTTCTTTTTGTATCAGAATATCAGTTATCTGACATTCAGGTTAATACACACACACACACACACAGACACAGACACAGACACACACACACACACACACACACAGGCACACACACACACACACAATAAAGATTATACTTATAATACAGCCATGGC